CATTAATCATAATTTCTTTTAATGTTTTTTTTTGACGAATTAATAATTCGTAAGTGGACAATGCGAGTATAATGTGTCTTATAATCTAATATAATATGTTCTAATAGACGACAATAATTCGTTTTTAGGAAGTGAGAACAAAAATGGTGGTGAAAAGACATTTACGTAATCGATAAAATGAAATATAAAAAAGATGTACATTAAAATACAATAACGATAAGTAATGGATCGAGGCATTCCCCGGTAACCAACTTGTTGTCATTAAGATACGTAGGATGTAACCGAATTTATATAGATTCATTTATAGAAAAAGAATTCTACGAAATTACGTAAATCATGGAGTTCCCAAGTGGAGATCCTAGATAATAAAAAAGAAATAGCTTTTATTTTAAACCTAATTTAGGATTTTATTATAGTTGTATGCGTAAACAAATATAAAAGGCAAAATTTTAACTGATCTCACTGCTAAAAACAATGTCTCGACCTTCAACCGTCGAAATTCAATCTATTCGTGATGGTAAAGCTTCAATAGAACACCAGATAGATATTCATGGTAAAAATTAAGACATTATAATAATGTTTGATCTCTTTTTTTTTTTTTTTTAGATGTTTAAGTAATTATTATTTAAAATTATAGTCAACGATCTTTTTGGTGTTAAAGAAAGTCGTCAATTATTATCTCTTGCAAATGTGTTAGATGGATTACAATATGTTATGAACTATCGCCTTAAAGGCGGTAGACTTCCAAACTTGGATTTTGAAATAATGAAACGTTTATGTGAAGGACTATTATTAAATATGTCCTATATGGAGGGTGGATTGCTAAAACGAAAGATGACCCTGGAGGCTAATAGAGCTTTCATCCTCTTTGGAGAATTTATGGAAGAAGGTGTGATTAACTATCTATTAATCTATCTGATTATCAAATATTCATATTTATTAGCTAAGATAATTTCTAAATCATTATTTATTAGTGGAAGAATTTCGTCAAGCTGTTCGTGAAAAAAATGTTTCCGATCTTTATCACGCTCTTAAACTTCATCGTCGATGTAAAGATGTTGATCCAGCAGTCAAACAATCTGTAGTTGCCATAATATACATGTTAACGAATTGGTTTCCACAGTTTTCGGATTGGCGTGAATTAGTAAAAGATGAAGAACAAGGTGATGTTGAAAAATTGATCAAAGAGTTCACGGATGTAATTAAGAAACCTAGAATGCCATCACTTCATGGCGTTGCATTACCTCCTCCATGTAAGTTATGTTAATTCATCATCTTTTATTTGTATATATTTTTACAAAAAATATGTTTGTCATATATTTTTTTTTAGCTTTATATTTTGATCGTGATGTGACTCGAGTATTGAAAATGTTTCGCACATCATTAACTGATGGCTTACCCGCAACCGAAATACCAGTGCTATTGAAACACTATGGATCTAATCAACTACCTAAACCTCCAAAAACTTCTATCCTTAGTATGCTACTTAATCAATTAAAAGATTTTATGGTATTAATATTGATAGCTGCGGCAATTGTTACTGCGGCGTTAGGTGACTTTAAGGATATGGGTGTACTGTTATTTGTCATCGTTCTTAATACCATAATCGGATTTACACAAGAATACAAAGCAACAAAAGCTTTAGAGGCTTTACAAAAACTATCTGTTCCAAAAGTACGAATTCCACCATTTGTTATGTAAAAAAAAAATCAAGGTTTTTTGATTTCGTATCCTAATTTTTTATACTATATATTTTAATAATAAAGGCTCAAGTAGTGCGTGATGGTCAACAAATGATTATTGATTCCTCACAACTTGTTCCGGGTGATATAGTTGTTCTTGAAGAAGGTGATGCAGTTCCTGCTGATGTGCGTATTGTAGAATGTTCAAATTTAGAAGTTATCGAATCAATCTTGACTGGAGAAAGTCTTCCGGTCAGCAAAAATACTAAAAAAATTTGGACAGCGGTATGCATTTAGAATGAAAAAAAATTCAATAAATTTTTTGATATCTACACAAAATTCAATTTATAACTTGAAATTATTTTACATTTTTTATTAAATATAATAGACAAGGCATCATCCATTAGGTGACTGCAAGGGAAATGCATTCATGTCAACTACAATTGCCAGAGGTCGTGGTAAAGGAGTTGTAGTTAGAACTGGGAGTGACACTGAGGTAAATAAAAAAAAAACTATAAACCAAGAATTAAAATAAAAATGTAAAAAAGCATTAATCATATATTTCATATGTGACTTATTTAACAGATTGGAAAAATTAGTGCTGCTATAACTTCAGTTAAACAAGTCAAAACTCCAATTCAACGTAAATTGTCAAAATTAGGGAAATGGCTAGTTTTACTTGCTTTTGTTTTGTGTATTCTTGTTGTGATAATAGGAATTGCATATAGACATAATGCAATAACAATGGTTTTTATTGGTCTAAGGTAGCGTAAATAATTTGTATATTATTTTTTTAATGTTTTATTATCGTTATAATCGTTTATATATAATTGTTACTTTTGATTAGTTTGGCCGTCTCTGTTATTCCGGAGGGTCTAGTGGCTGTTACAACTGTAACAATGGCTATCGGTGTTCGTCGAATGGCAAAACGTAGTGCAATAGTAAGAACTTTGCCAGCTGTAGAAACACTTGGCAGTGTTACTGTTATTTGTTCAGATAAAACAGGTACCCTTACCGAAGGAAAAATGGGTCCAATAGAGTTATGGACTGCAAATGATTCATTATATACCTTCACAAAGCCAACTTCTATGGATCCAAATGAGGGTGATATTTTATTCCTTTCCGCAAAGCATAATCAAAAGGGCTTTGAATTACATGATGACTCAATACAATCGCAAAAATCGGATAAAATGGTTTACAAGTCATTAAATCCTAAAGAAGTTCCAAGAAATCCACAAAATGTGCCACCACATTTGATGACCGCATTAATGGTTTCTTGTCTATGTAATAATTCTTCTGTCATCCAAGAAAATGATGGTGAATGGAAAGGAGTTGGTGATCCAACTGAGGTAAATTAGCATGCTATAATCTTAAATTTTTTTTTTAAAAAAAAAAATGCAGAATTATTAAATCATTTTAAATAAAATAGGTAGCACTGTTACTCGCAGCACAAAAAGGTGGACTGCCAAAGGGTTACTGGGAGAAAGATTGCGGATTCGTTAAAATTCATGAAAAGGCGTTTGATAGTGAACGTAAAATCATGAGTGTTGTTTATAAGATTGAAGATTCTACATTATTAGGACATTCAAAGCCAACAAAACTAGTACTTGTTAAAGGAGCACCAGAGGAATTGCTTCGAAAGTGTACACATCATCTACCAGAAGTTGAGTCAACGGAAATAGATTTACCATTTGATATAATTTTTGGACAAAAAGAAAGATGTCAACCGAAAGAATTATCAGATAATTTTATTGACATTGTTTCGGATCAAAGTTCGAGAATGGCATCGAGAGGGTTACGGGTTCTTGGACTAGCTTTTAAAATAGTTTATGATGATATATCTTCGTCGTCTAGAATTTCTCATGATTCTGAGAAAAGTCAAGACACTCCAACTGTTAATCCTTTATTCGATGAGACAGATTTAACATTTGTTGGTCTAATCGGACTAATAGATCCACCTAAAAAAGCAGTCAAAGAGTCCATTCGTAAATGTAAGGAGGCTGGAATTCAGGTTATAATGATAACTGGTGATCATATAGCTACAGCCACAGCAATAGCCAAAGACATTGGCATTATCGAACCGGGAGATCCGAATACGGTATTATTACATTTTAACTCATGAAAAAACTAGTTGGTTTAAACGAAAAATTTATTGATAAAAATTTATTCAATAGAATTTGGCAATTCTTGGAGCAGAGTTTGACCTGCTTTCCGAGCAAGCAATAAAAGAATTGAATCCATTTCCAAGTGTTTTTGCACGCGTTAGGTGAGAATATATTTATTAATAAGTAAAAAACGGGGTTTTTTAAAAAAAAATTTGAATATTAACAATTATATTGTTATAATATAATTACATTGTTTAGTCCTGATAACAAACTTAAGATCGTTCAAGCTTTACAAAGCCTTGAAAATTCAGTAGCCATGACTGGTGACGGAGTTAATGGTAAAATTTTACTATATTAATTTCATAAATAAATAAATAAATATATATATATTTGTTTCAAATATTAACAAAGTTTAATATATTATTAGATGCACCTGCAATTAAAGCTTCAGATATAGGAATTGCTATGGGAGTAAGCGGCACGGAAATAACAAAACAAGCAGCAGATATTGTTCTAGCAAATGATGATTTTTCAACAATTGTTATAGCGGTAGAAGAAGGCAGACAAGTGTTTGACAACATTCTTAAATTCATAGTATATCTATTAAGTTGTAATGGAGCAGAAATAATATTGATGTTTTTATGTGCGATTATTAATACGGAATTACCGTTTACAACTATTATGATTTTATTTGCAAATATAATTGGTACTTTATTTCTTTCTTTTCTTTTGTTAAAAAAAAAATACTAATAATAATAATGAAGTTTTCTAACACTAATTTAATTTAATTTATTTCATAAATTAATAAGCTGATGTACCACCTGCAATGTCACTTGGTATAGAGCCGGCAGAAGGAGATTTAATGAGACGTAAACCAAGAGATCCAAATTCAGGTGTACTTAACATTTACACGACCTCAATTTTATTAATGCAAGCATCGGTAATGGCATTAGCAACATTTGGAGTATACAAAATTGGATTATCAATAGAACATATGGATCTAAAAGACGCACAATCTTTGGCATTTGTTACGTTAATTACAATGCAATTGTTTCAAGGGTTCTTATCCAGAACTTTAAATGAAAGCTTTTTTAGGACTCCTTTGTTTGGAAACAAGGTAAAAAAAAAAAGAATCTGCCTAGAATTTTTCTTTTTATTGTTAGATATAATGTTTTGACCAAATGTTTTACCATTTATGAAATAGTGGATGATTATAGGTGTTTTTGGATCATTTGCCGCACTACTTATTGGTATATATATTCCAGGTAAAAAAAATGCATACATTTATTAACTTTGTAATTTTAGTACATAGTTATAACAATAATAATGATAATTTTTACGTAATAACAGGAGTCAATGATTGGTTCTCGCTAAACCCAGTTCCAATATTAGGATGGGCAAAAATAGCAATATGTCTCGTAATACTGGTAATATTTAGTGAGATTGGGAAAGCGTTTGGAAGAAGATTAAGAGATAAAGAAGTTTCTACGAGAGTCTAAGTTTGTGCTTTGGGATTTTTTTAAAATATATAACTAATAAAACAATTTAGTTAGTAATAACTACTATAGTATACTACTACAGTATACTACTAGCTATTTTTGAATATATTTAATGATTATTTTAATTAATTAACTAATTAGAGACTAAAAGTATAGTCACCTTATACTGTATTTGAATAATAAAGATTTTTAATTTTTTTTTCAACACGATAAAGCTTCTAAATTTTAGAGGTTTCTAACTCTAAATAGCTAGGAATGAAAAATTTTTTAAATATTACTATATAAAATTTAAAAAATATATATATTTTTTTATTTCTAGCTATTTAAGAGTAGAGGGTAGATCATTTCTATTATTAAACCAATTGTCAAAATTTATTATATTTAATTTTAAAGCAAATTTTATTAAGTAAATCTTTTTTTGAGTTTTTAAATATTAAAATTGACCAGGTATATCGCAAGATATGATTATTTTATTTTTGCATCCCTATTTTGCTTATTGTAAGCACGTGATTTGATTGGCCAATTTGTAATCCCCACCCCCGCAAATGTTGGTGCTATACAAACTTTATCAAATTTTTAGTTGCAAACATAGTATAAAATTAATTTTTATATGTAGCAACTTTTTATTCCGCAGTAAAAAATATTTTGGTCACTAGTTTATTAATAGAAATGATCTACATACCATCACCCTTAAAGTTAGCACAATGTCCAAAAAATTTAGTTTCAACTATTTTGAAAATAACTAAATAACAATATATAGTTAAGTACTGTATAAGGTATGTACTGTACGATCAATCTGAGATCAAATTAGACATTAAGACTAATTGATAAATTTTTTTAATAAAAATTAACATCTAAAAAATAAGTCTGGTACTTTAGAAATAAGACCGTTATTAATTTTAGTAGCGCTAAAAATAAATTTGATATCAGTATTAATATGAAATTGGAACGAAACCAGATATCACTAAATAGAGCCAGTCACCTTGCTTATACGTACAGTTTTTTGATCTCTGATATCAATAAGTTAGAATAACTTTATAGACTCGGAAATTAGTAAAATGGCTTTTTTATTATATTGGCATATAGGAACATAGCATATAAAAAAAGGTTCTACAGTAAAATGGACTTTAATAAATGACACTACGTACTGTAATCGTTATTCACCATATATAAATACACAAAAAGATTACTTAATTGTTTCACACAGAATGCGCATGAGTTCATGTTCAGGGTGTTAATTATTAATAGTTATTCTAAAACAGTTTATCATTATTAACAAAAATAGAGATGCTAGTTAAATCATGGCGAAACACTTTAATCCTTAACTAAACAAAAATGTGCATGCTAAAGCAGTCTTTATATTACAAAATCAATTACAGTACAAAGTTTTAACAATAACTTCTTTATTAAACTCATGATCAAACATTTAACCTCAATATATGTTAGATTAACTACGTACGGCAATTTTTTATCGAAGATGAATCATTCTAATTGTTGCAAATTAGACAATTACATTCACATGATAATTCAACGATTGGAGCGTTATAAATAATTGTCTAATGATTTCGAAATAAAAATCAATCTTTTTTTTTTTTTTTTTAAAACCTCAAGACCTTTCGAGTTTTTTTTTTTTGTTTTGTTGTTTAATGAGTTGGTTTATGATTTTTATGATTTATGATTCACAGGAACTTTTAAATTATTTAATGATCAAGTTGCAATTTGGAGGGTTATTCATTCTCAATTTTTGATATTGGGATTTGTTTTGTTTTATCTGTTATATATAAACTTACATATTTTTTTGAGATCTACTTTTTATTCGACCCTTAAACATAATAATATCACAATTTTGTTTCGTGTAATTCGACGAAATAAATTCTCCTTAAAATAAAACATTAATAATAGAAAAATGGCAAGCTTCATTAAAGCAAATCGATCGTACTTTGAATATGAAATTTCCAATATCTCTCAGTTAATTCACGCGATTTATGGACCTCCGTTCGCTCATGAATTTCGTTCCAAACAACTTTGGCATTTGGTCATTAAACCGGTAATTTTCAATTTAATTATTTAAATTTAATTATTTAAATAAATATTCAATATATATATAGATACATATATATTTTTTTTTTTTTTTGAAAAAAAAACAATTTTTTTTTTTTTTTTTAGCTTAAAGATTATTGTGTAATATACTTGGAGCAAGTATCCACTCCAAATGCAAAACATTGTGATGAATTTATGGCAAAACTTTCAATGTGTAATCATAAAATTCATGTTAGAAGGTCGGATGGCACTGAAATTTTGCCGATTAATAATTTAAGTAATAAAAAAGGTATTATATAATGCCTTTAATATTTTTACAAATTATTTTTATATAATATTTTTTATAAATTAATATTTTTATATATTATTACCTTTTGTTCAATATATGCTAATTTCAAATCATTTTTATTAAAAGATACTTATAAAGTATTCAAAAGATCCTGTCTAAAAGATTCTTCAATAATAATCGGTATTGAGATGCTAAAACCTGAATTCAGTCAAAACCCTTCTACCGCCTTCTCAACCACTCCATCTTCGTTTAACAACACAACAAACCAAATTTTTCCTTCAAAAATAAAGGCCATCTGGACCGAAGAATTGCATAATCCTACGACTGCCGATGTTAGATTTGTTATTGGTGACCATGAATTATTCGCAAGTAGTTCTATCCTTGCGAAAAGATCTAAATATTTTAAAGATATATTTGATGAAATGAAACGTGATACAAAATGTGAAATTAATGAAAATTTCGGCATTCGTGAAAAAGAAAAATCCGGTATTGGTGAAAGTGATGAGAAACTCTCCATTCCGGATGATGAAGAAAGCTGGTCTTTTGATGACACTCTTTCAATAGTTTCTACAACTTCATCTAATGAAACCGTATTCACTTCTTCCTCTAAACCTTCTTCCTTTAAATCCCGTGATTTCTGTTATGAATTAGTAATCTCTGATTTTCCATACCACTCAGTTCTCCAATTACTTCAATTCTTATACACCGATGATCTACCTTTCACTGATAAAGTTTCTTCTTTCCCCTTCTCCGATGAAATATATTCCCTATATGGTATCGCTGACAAATACCAAATACTTGACCTAAAATCACATCTCAAAAAACTTATTCTCTGTAATCTTAAATTGGAAACTTGTGCTGAAATGTTATTCAAACACGTTTGGAAATGGCCTGAATTAAAACGTGTTGTTATGCCATTTGTAGTAAAGTACTTTGCAAAAATTAAGTGTACGCAAGGTTATTTAAATATAGTAGAAAAGTGTAAATGTGGGGAAGGTGAGAATGAGTTTCCAACGTTCTATGAATTAAATTTTGAGATTTTAATGGCAACATTTTCATGTTCTTGTTAAAAAAAGAAAAAAAACCCAAATTTTTTTATTAAATCTTGTTAGAATAATGAGAAAATTTATATATAATATGTATTAAGAAGGGGGAAGTAATGCTTTTTCAGTTTGATTAGCAAATCTAATAAGATATTTTTATTTGTTTATCAATTTGTTCCTTTTTTCATTTCACTCTCATCTAATCAAACACATTCGTATATATATATATATAGTTATTTTAAAAGTACAATCTTGATGATTGTCACTTGTCACATAAAAAAATAAAAAAAAAATAAAAAAAAGATTACGATAATACAGTATATAACGATAATTTTTATTTGTAATAAAGATACCCTGATCCGTTGGGTATTAGCGGAAACGAAGTTTCCGCTTGTACACATACGGTCAGGGTATTTTTGCTAAATACCCCGTGATCTTGATATAGTGATCGGAGTATTATTATTACTAATATTTCTTTGAAGCGTGTACTTGTTACGCGTCATTAAATATTTTATACGTATATCATTCATAAATTAGAAAACAATATTACTAAATACAGAAATACTAAAAACGTAAAAAGACATCTATGTCATCGGCGGATTTTGCAAATTAGACCTTTTTGCCAGTCCCCAGATCTGCCTTAACGTAAAATGATAATTGCATAAATAACGATAGCGATAATGATAGTCAACTGATTAGTCTGTCCTACAAAGTACCCCAAATCCACATCCAACTGATTACCCCACTATCCAATTGATTACTTTTTTTCATGCGAACGTACGTATGTTAGGGACTAGTAGGGACTGGTTCAGTGCTGGTCCAAAACCAGTCCAGCTCTCACATTATATGAATAGAGTGTTATTTTTGACACATTAAAGTTCGATAAAATGTGGATCAATAACAATATACCTTGAGTGGTGGTACTTTAAATAAAATTCGCTAATTGGGAATACTCTAATTGGTGAATTAAGTTAAAATTAGTTAAGTGCCGACTTTGTCGATCAATAATGGTAAAGTCTGTATATTAAACTGCTAGGGCAACTAATCGATTAATCAATTAATCAATTAATCAATTAATCGATTAATCGATTAATCGATTAATCGATTAGTTGCAACTAATCAACTAAATCGATTAGTTGCAAAGAATCGATTGAAAAATTATTCAACTCGTCGATTAATCGATTAATCGATTAGTTGAAACCAACTGAAAAAATAATTGACCACCTAATCGATTGAAAACATTTTGCCAATTTGTAACACTAGACTAGAACAGACGAACCACTTAACATCCCTATGTGACTGGTATATAAGTTCGCTATACATAAACGATCATCTTAATTTTTCAAAAAAAAAAAAAATGACACTAAAATTTTTTGAAAAACTTTCAAATAATTATCTTGAACTTCTTGATGATGAGGAAGATTTTAATGTATTGATCAATGTTGGTGAATCCCCAAATACCAAAACATTTCGGGCGCATTCAGCAGTGTTAAAGTATAGGTCATTATATTTTCTAAATGAATTGAAAAACGTTGACAGAGATAGGAACAACATTAAAACGGTTAATCTAAAAAATGTTACTATTCAGCAGTTTGAAATTATCATCAAGTAATTATATAGTATTCTTATTTATTATTTTACAAGTTTAAAAATATTTTAAAATTATTAAAAAGTATTAATTTAAAATTAATGCAACTGCAAATTTTTAATTAAAGGTATATCTACGGTGGAATAGTTTTATTAGAAATTCTTGATACATCATTTATTTTTGATCTAATGGTTATTACTTGTGAGCTTTTCTTTGAAGAACTTACTAAGCGCCTTGAAACTTATTTGATTGAAACAAAGGCTTTTTGGCTTCGTTTGAATTTTTCTCGCATATATCGAAAAGGTTTTCAAATCAATAAATTTCAAGATTTGCAAAATTGGTGTAATGATATTATAGTAATGAATCCAAATAGGATTTTTGAATCAGAAGACTTTACTTCTATTCAAGAAAATGCATTAGTCTCGCTTATTAAACGAGATGATTTACAAATGGAGGAAGCAAAAATTTGGAATTATATAATCAAATGGGGAATTGCACAAAATCCTGGCTTGCCATCTGATCCTAAAAACTGGTCTAATGAAAATTGTTTAACTATGAAGAATACTTTGCAGAATTGTTTACCTCATATCCGTTATTTCCAAATATCTGGAGGTGATATTATTGATAATTTACAACCGTATCAACAAATGCTCGATAAAAATTTATGGGATGATATAATTAAGAGATTTCTATCTCCGGACCGACCGATATCATCAGTAATTCTTCCACCTCGTGTGGTTTTAAAACAAACATTACCGCCCAGAACGACAGAACCATTTTCAGAAATTATTAATGAAACACACGCTGCTAAGATTACTTCATGGATTGATAAAAGAACATATTCTATAAAAGATAACCCATATGAGTTTAAATTACTTCTTCGTGGAACCAGAGATGGTTTGGGTCCCACGACATTTTGGAATTTATGCAATAAGAAGACAAATGTTGTTGTAATTGTTAAGGTTAAAAGCACTGATGAAATTCTTGGAGGGTATAATCCTATTGGATGGGAGAAATCTGACAGTGTGAAATATCGAAATTGCAACGAGAGCTTTATTTTTTCATTGAAAAATGGTACTATTCAAAATTCTATTCTAAGTCGTGTGAAAAATCCACAGTATGCAATTTATTTCTCTCCTAACTGTGGCCCAGTTTTTGGTGGTAGTGATCTAGTCGTTTATAATGGTTCTAGTCATAATGTTTGTTATAACTGTTTAAGGTCATATGAAAAACCAATTAGAGATGCATCTACATATAATTCTGGTGGCTACTCACATTTTTCAATGGATGAATACGAAATATTTCAGATTAGTAAAAAATCCTAAAATTCTTTTCATCTTTAAATTTTATGAATAAATGTCCCAAAATGAAAGCATAACAATCGTCTCTATTAACACTCCTAGACAAAACAAGCTTTTAAATGATCAAATAACTAATAAATTATAGATAAAGAGCATACAATTAATAAATTCTGAAGTCGACATTTGTGTAAATAAAACACCATTAAATTGATCAAGCTATTGAGAACTGATGAATATCCGAAAGGTGTCGTATTTACGCAAGAATTACATATATTAAGTGACACTGATTGTTATGCCAATGCGAAACCTTGAAGCTTTTTTTGCCTATTTTTATTTTTTTTAGGAGTATCGCCAAAAGAAAACACATTGAAATACAGTAAGACCTCTATAAGTGCATGCACTATGTAAATTCTCTCTAAACGCACGGCATAACTTGGCCCAACTTATAAGTGCATTATATATTTTGCTCTCTATAAATGTATACTCTCTTTAAGTGTACGTTTTGCTTTTTTTTTGACTATGGTCCCAAGGGGGTGCACTTATGGAGGTCTTACTGTATACAGTAGCCTATATTTTCTTTTGGCGATACATCGATTTTCGTATATATATATATATATATATTAAAATTTCAAATTTTTTACGGCATATTTTTTTGAAAAAATAGTAAGTGTGGATTCATATTTTTAAATCGAGGCCCTAATTTCCAGCTTCAACCGAGAAATAATTATAAGTAAAAAAGACCATACCCAATTATCACTTTTGCCAATTCAGCATCATCCTTAACAATAATTGTG